GGACAGAAGAGAGATGTTGCTGAGTATGTTGCTATATGTGATATATGTCAAAGAGTTAAAGTGGAACATCAAAGGCCTACAGGATTACTACAACCAATGAAGATACTTGAGTGGAAGTGGGAAGAAGTTGGTATGGATTTCATTGTTGGGTTACCACTCACTCAGGGAGGTTATGATTCAATATGGGTGATAGTGGATCGGTTAACTAAAGTTGCTCACTTTATACCGGTCAAGACTACTTATAATGGATCGAGGTTGACACAATTTCGTATAACAACAGTTATCAAAAGAGTCTCAATATGGCACCTTTCGAAGCTTTGTATGGACGAAAGTGTAGAACCCCGTTATTTTGGAATCAAATGGGAGAAACTCTAGTGTTTGGACTGGATGTGTTAAGAGACGCAGAAGAGCAAGTAAGGATGATTAGAGATAACTTGAGAGTGGCACAATCTCGACAGAAGAGTTATGCCAACACTAGGAGAAGAGAATTGGTTTTCAAAATAGGGGACTATGTTTACCTAAAGGTGTCACCTATGAGAAGTGTGAGAAGGTTTAACATGAAAGGAAAGTTAGCACCAAGGTATATTGCGCCTTTCAAGATTTTCGAGAGATGTGGTGAAGTAGCTTATCAGTTGGAATTGTTTGAGAGTTTGTTAGGTGTACATGATGTGTTCCATGTGTAACAATTAAAGAAGTGTTTGCATGTACCTGAGGAGCAGATATCATTAGAGGAGCATATAGTTAAGGAAGATCTTACATATGAGGAATTTTTAGTAAAGATTTTGGAGACAGCAGAAAGGGTTACGAGGAGCCGAGTTATAAAGATGTGTAAGGTTAAGTGGAATTGATATTCAGAAGATGTGGCTACTTGGGAAAGAGAAGAGGATCTGAGGAAAACATACCCGCAGCTTTTTAAGTAAGCATCGTCTAAAACTTGAGGACAAGATTCATTTTAAGGGGGTAGAATTGTAACACCCTAAAAATTGCAACGTTTTAAAATAGGAGAAAATGATTTAATTATGCATTTTGTGAGCATTTAAATTTAGAAAAATAATAACTTTGTTAAAAAAATCAAATATAGGTCTACATACATGCATGTGCATACATACTACTGCGTATTTTATTTGTGATGCTTTGGTTTGATTGAAATTTACAAAAGAATTTAAATTTGAGTTTAAATTGGATTTGAAAATGTGTTAAGAAAATAGAAAAGGAGTTTATTATTTTTCTTCTTCCTTCTCTGTTTTTGGCCCGAGCAGCCCAAGTCGGCCTGGCTCCCCGCGTCGCCCATTTTCCTGCGGTGGCCCAGCAGATGGCCCAATCTTCCGCAGCGTCGCCCGCGCTCTTCCCTCTCCCACGACCTAGTAGTCTGCAGCAGCCCATCGCTCGCGTTGTTCTCTTTTCTCTCTTCCGTGTGACGCTGACAAGCCGGTCCCAGCTGTCAGTCGCCTTCTCCTACCTCGTGATCGTTTCCGCGTCGAACTCCGCCATCGCCGACTCCACGCTGCTCACGCCTCCTTCCTTGCCTTGTGCCCCATGTTGCTTCCAGCCATAAATATCGGATGTCTGCATCGTGCCGCTCCTGTCCCAAGCTTCGGAGCCCCAGCCGCCTCACTGAGCCACGCCAAGCCCTAGTGCCGCCGCCATCACCGCCACTGTCGTCGTCGAGCGCTGCTTTCCGTGCCGTCTCCGACCACGAGAACTACTTGGGTGAGTTCGACTTGCTCTCCTCTACCTCCTGGTGTCTTCGGTTCATCTAGCCGTGGTCCTTAGGGCCTAAACCAATGTCACCGGCAAGCTTCCTTGCCACCGTTCATGGCTGCCGCCGCGTCGCCCTTTCTCCGGCCGGTCGTGCGCTCTCTCTCTCTCCCTCCCACTTAATCACAACCGTCCATCACGTGATCAATGTCCTAGATTCAAAGATACCCCTTCGCCTGTCATATTTGCTAAAGAACCCCTCAGGTTTTTTATTATCGGACCCACCGTCCCTAGTTCGGTTGAAAATCTGATTTTATTAATTTAAATTCTAAAATCAAGTTCCATATATTTACAGTTTTGCCACTAATCTTGTTTTAGCCATAAAATCTTCATTTTAACTTCGATTTGTCCGTTCAAGTTGCGTTAGGTTCATAATTGCATAATCTACATGTTCACACTACTGTTAAGTGTGTTTTCAATTTTTAAAATTTGAAGTTAGATTTAATCTATTATTTTATTAAATGAAATCTTGTTTAATTCATAACTTCTCCGTTTTAGCTCTGATTTTTGTGATCTTCATATCTGTGTGTTCGTAGCAAGACATAGATTTGTTTTACAAACTTTTTTGCTTGATTTTATGCTGATTGGTGTACTGTTTTAATTTATAGCCTTTGTTTGCTATGCATGATTGCTTCTAGATGCTTGTATATTGCTGTGATTATCGAGTATAGATGGTGAACCATTCGTGGGTGATCAAGAGTACTACTTTGACGAACAGGATCATCAGAAACACTTTGTTCAAGGCAAGTATAGCACAGGATCATCCTTATTTCCTATCAACTTTAATACATTTAATTCATATTGCATGTGTCACCTTGATAGGGATTCTCTAGAATTGAACTTATACCTTGTCTCCTATGGGATATGCATTGGGTAGCTTTGCTAGTGCTCAACTAAACCATGATCTTATAACTTGACTAATGGCATATGCAATAAACATTACAACATGAATTTTTAACAATTTGGAAACAGGGGGCTAGAGTGTTTAGCTACTTTCTAAATGCTTCAGATTCCTCTCCCTAAGGATTTATCTGTAAGCGAACATTCGGGATTTATAGTACAGCTGTGAGGGCTACATGGCTCTGGCTTTAGCTCAGTATGAGGACCTTTTTCTAGCTTGTTAGATGTTACCTTTATGCCATAAGAATGGCTTGCCGAATCGGGTATAGGACAACCTCTACTCTTATGTGTATAGCTGTGATGGAATTGTGCCATTCGACAGGGGGTTCCTATATCTGTTTGCTGAGTGAATCTAATGGCCGTAACTTGTTAGACGAACCTTTGAAAGGCTTCATAGTGAACCCTGTCTGCTCACCTTAAAAGTGTTTTGGGAGTAATTAATCCGGGCATATGGGTATCACGACTCACAGTGAAAGTGTACAACCTCTGTAGAGTGTAAAACTAGTATATCAGTCATGCTCACGATCACGAGCGGTTTTTGACCCTTATGGAATAGATGATCACTATTAAGTAATTGTTTTTGCTATATATTACTCATGTTTACATTGATCATGTGTTTTACTTTGGGATTAAAACAACTTGTTGCTACTCTTATGCTAAAATTGTGACAACTAAAAGTTAAATGTTGTTAAACCTATGTCAAGCCTTTTGAGCCCATAAACCCTATGTTACACTTGTTGAGTACGACACGTACTTACGCTTATTTATTTTCATTATTTGGATGAAAAACCTGGATGGGTAACAGATGGCTATGGTAATAACGACTTTCCTGAGGATTACTAGACTTGTAGTCAACTAGTTGGCGTCCCTGTGATATGGAGCTTCCACGAGAGATTTTTCCTTTATACTTCTGCTGTATTTGTGTGAATACTTTGTCTTATTATACGTGATGTAATAAACACTTGTGAGGATACTATCTATAATTTGTCGGCTTATGTGTGTGATTGATCTCTGGACGCACATAAGATTATGCATCCCATTTTATTCTTAAAATCGGGTGTGACACATTCATAGTTAGTATTGTCGTCTATCGTTTCAAACAAACTGGATCTATTTCCCACGCATCCCAAAATGCCTAGGCAGATCAGAATATGAAGAGAGAATTCTTTGTGAGCCATTAAAAAGATCGCAATTCCCTGTGAGCCACTGAAAAAGTTCAGCAGACTTCAGCGCTACTGCTCCAACTTTTTTTTACCCTCCGTGCCACTGCCGTCAGATTGGACTCTAACGGTGTCAAACTGCAGGTGTGAAAAGTCAAAAATACCCTTAAGTCTAAATATGTCATTAATTTTTTTGAGCATCTTAACGACTTCAAATGAAAAAACTAAAAATTAGAAAGTTGTAGATCTCATCGAGATCTATAATTTTCATATAAAAATTATCTTCATTTAATTCCGCAAAAAAAGATATGATTTGTATGATGAATATATCTTAGAAAAATCATATCTTTTTGTGGTATTAAAAGAAGATAATTTTTATATGAAAATTATAGATCTCGATGACATCTACAACTTTCTAGTTTTGGGTTTTTTCATTTGAAGTCGTTAAGATGCTAAAAAAAATTAATGACATATTTAGACTTAAGGGTATTTTCGACTTTTCACACCTGCAGTTTGACACCGTCAGAGCCCAATCTAACAGCAGTGGCATGGAGGGCAAAAGAAAGTTGGAGCAGTGGCGTTGAAGTCTGCTGAACTTTTCCAATGCCTCACAGGGGATTGCGATCTTTTTTAATCGCTTACGAGGAATTCCCCCCGATATATACCTAATATAGCTTGGTCGCCAACCATGTTACATATCCATACTATGTACCACAAATTAAAGGCATTCATAGTTAGTATTGTTTTCTACCATTTCAAACAAACTGTATCTATTTCCCGCGCATCCCAAAATGCCTATGCAGATCAGAATATGAATATATACCTGATATAGAAATGCTGTCAGTTGACTTCACCATTATCAAACACAGACACGATATAATGCAAGACAGATACGGTCTGATATTTAGCATTATATATTCTTCATAGTACTGCCAATGCAGACTATCAGTCATGACGGGCCAACCACTGCAGCTTAGAGGTACTCATTGTCCTGTTCGTTTGGCTGATAAGCTATGACTGAAAGTATTGTTAGCTGATTTGTTATGAGAGAAAAATATCATTCATTGCCTGAAAAAAGTACGTCTTATAAGCCAAGTGAAGAGGGCGCATATCCCATTCATGCAAAGGAAAGCAACAGCTAGGTTTAGGCATATAGGTAGCCATGCTTCCCTGCCTTGCTGATCAGACGCTGGTCCTTCCGAGTGGTCCATGAGCCCTTATGTATCCCCATGGCAGGAACTGGTTGAAGTGACGGAGGAGATCAGGGTGACCTTCCAGAAGCACCTTCACACGCTCAACCACAACAGCAGTACAAATGCTGCAATTCACAGACAACACCAACAAACAATCAGCCTGACAATCCAAGAAACGAACCCTATCTAGTCCACCACACAACTAGCAGATACAAGGAAGCCACTGCTGCAATAGCAGCAGCTGAATCTCTGCTCTGCTCACTCCGAGATCTAGTAGTGAGGATCGTCACTGACCTCCCGGACATGAACTGGCGCATGATGGCGATGATCTCATCGTACTTGTCCGGCTCTCCGGCTAACCCGCGCTTCAAGTTCTTCACGAAGCGGAGTCCATCTTGGAGTGTCTGCGTTGGCCTCCTATATATATCATTCAGTGGCGGGACAAGAAAACAGATAGATACATGGATCGGGTTGGAAAACCATTAGATCACAAGACAACAAGTGAGCAAGATCACAGAACAAGGGGGAGATTTCTTTTTGAACCAGAAACATGATCCAGATTCACGCGCGGCGGATAATATAAACTAAGACGCCGGGCAAAGCCATGGAGGCTGGACGATAGATACAGGAGGTAGGTGAAGTGAAGGAGAAGCTACTCACGGATCACGGACTCGGAACTTCATGTACACACCATGCTCCTCCTTCTTCGAACGCTTCATCTTGCCTCTGAAACCCATGTCCTCGGTTGTTTAGCATAGCCGCCTACAATTCGCCGGGTCTTAAGAAGGAGGAGAGTGGGGAAAGTGACAATGGCCTCACGCGCACAGTCACGCTATGTGTGACGCGTCATGGTGACTAAGCAACAAGTTGTATGTCCCGCTGTAACGCACTGGCATATTTGTTTGTATTTAATAATGATAAAAAATTAATGTTGTAAACTATAAGCTACATTTTTTTATCTGCGAAGTTAGCTGGCATATTATATAACAGTACAAATAACTGAAAAACACTTCACACGCAATAACCACCTATCTTAGCTGAGTCATATACTGCAGTGAATAATTATTCATGTGGGGTTAATCATTTATTATGCCTAGCATTAATATAGACCTACGATATATTTCATTGAACTAAAATAGGTTGCTCCAGGCCTAATTAAATCCCATAAAAATGGCTACCTCCAGGTGACTATACAACTGCTCTGCTTTAACAAACTGCCATATTTGCAAATATTTAATAATGATAGAAGACATTGCAAATCATAAGCTACATTTTTTATCTAAACAATAAAATTAGTTGGCATATTATATATTAGTAGAACTAATAAAAAAGATACTTAAGAGCCGCTTATTCCTCAAACCATTACACGCAACACAGCCACCTATCTTACCTGTCAATATACAGTGAATTTCTCATGTGGGGCTAATTCTTCATCATACCTAGCATTTAATGCAGACCGTGGGATTTATTTGATTTAATTGAAATAGGTAGGCCAAGCCTAATTAAACCCAATACAGATAGCTAGGTCCAGGTGACTAGCGTTATATGCCATGCTGTAACATATTGGCAAATTCGCTAGTCTTTAATAATGATATAAGATATTGCAAACTATAAGCTACATTTTTTATCTAAGTAAAATTAGTTGGCATATTATATATTAGTACAAATAACTATAAAATACTTAAGAGCTTGTTCCTCAAACCCTTACTAAAAAGCTGCAATTCACAAGTTACATAACATCAAAATGACTATATTAGTGTCTGTTCCCAATAAACTATATTTTGGTTCTTCAATTTTGTAGGTGATGTTCTGATTATTAAAGCATCAAAGAACAATATGCGGATGATATGATCTTTTATGTACAAAATAGTATAGAAATGGGTAGAATCTAAAATTCATGTATCTTTATGATATGCCTTTTGGCCTCAAGATAGTTTTCCCTAAGAGTGAAATTTTCATGATCAATTGATGAAATATAATCTTGAAGTTCATTGATGTATTTAACCATCAATCTCGAGATTTTCCAATTAAATGCTTCGGTGTCCACATAGGACCAAGCAAGTTATATGTGTAGTAGATTGGATCCCTATGTCCCAACCCTAAAATTATGAGATTGTTTCTATACCAGCCAAGTCATATAGACACAACACAAAGAAATCATATTCCCAATTTGTGATTTCTTCAAAATAGATTTTTTGTCCAATCACTTGCTTCTTGTGTTTGTTACTAAAAGATTGGATATGTGTTTACCATATGTTACATACTTCTTGTGTTGGTTACTAACAGATTGGATGTGAACACTCTTTTCGCAAGTGTGGGCAGTACCAAAAAGAAGTATCATCTGGTCACAAACTGCCATGCAGAAGAAAGATTGCACACATTGATGAACATGTGCATGGAAGGTCGACAAAGGTTTGTTAGGCTCAGCTTTCTGCAACCACAGCCACCTCATTCGGGGAGCCCAAATCATCTTTTAGAAGTCAGATATGCCAAGGCCACCCAGATCAGGGGTGCGACAGGTCATGATCCATGCTACAAGACAGTGCCCCCTCTTAATTTCCTTGCTCTCCATAAGAATAACCATGGGGCAAGGTCAAGATTAATTCGAAAGTGCACTAAAATTAACATATATCTTGTTAGCTTCACCAATGATTAGATTGGTGGCCTAGATTTTTGCTTGTATTGGCATAACAAATAATTTAATGGATGTCCAGCTTCCCTCCACAAGTTGTCTAATCAATTCAAGTTATTTAGGAGAGCCTAATAACCACCATAAGAATATGTCTTGAACCCTATAAAGTATAAAAATTCCTAATTCCACATTCCCAAACTGTTCAGTATTAGCAACTCAGAGCATTTGCATTTGCTCCGCCACATTAATTATACCGCTAAAAATTAGCATAAATAAATTTCCTCTCTTATTGTATCTCTCCATTTCAGTATCTTGCCACAACAGATAGGGAGATCCACTTTCACCCATTTTGTTCAACATAGTGGTGGATATATGTTGGCAATCATCCTGAATATAACAAAAGAGGAAGGTCAAGTACAAGGGGTTGTTCCAAATCTAGTTGAAGATGGCTTCTTGATCCTACAATATGCATATGACACTGTAGTTTTTATGGACTATGATATTGAGTCTGCAAAGAACATGAAATTGTTGCTTTTGTGCATTTTAACAATTGTCTAGTCTTAAATTGATGTTCGTAAAAGTGAAATCTTTTTAATTTCTTTGAGCAAGAAAAAGAATACAAAGAACAATAGTCACAACTCTTAGGCTCCAAGATGGGTTCATTCACCTTTCGTAACTTTAGTATACCAATGCATTTAAGGAAAATTAACAATGAAAATTGAAAAAAGTAATTGAGGATAGAATTGAAAAATGTTTGGGCAGCCCCAAGGGAAAAGGGTTATGTTATGGAGGGAGGATAGTAATAAATTCAGTTATATCTAGTTTATCTATGTTCATGCTTTCATTTTTGAAATCACAAGAGGTGTCCTTAAGAAAATAGAGTATTCTTTTGGCAAAATGACCAACATAATACAAAGTATACATTAGCTAGATGGAACATTTTATGCCAAGAAAAGATCAAAACGAATGAGAACTCATAACTTCGACATACAAAACAAATGTTTGTTGAGCAAATGGCTTTTCAAGCTTTGTTATGAAGATGTCTTGTGTAACACTCTAGAAGGATTACAATATCATCTAGCTAGGTAGGAGAAATGTTGTTGCAGATGCTCTTAGTAGGGCTAGTGTTCTTAAGCTATGTGTGCTATTGATTGGTGACTTGGACCGCATGGGTATTTCCCTCTACTATGTTTGTGTTGCACGCAAAGAGACTCAGTTGTTGATTTAGATACCGTTGCACAAACATGCAAGAGTTTCTCAGTTGTAGGATTGCTTACTCTAGGCTATTTGCAAGGGCACTCATTATCTAGATGCGGCCAGATCTTTCGATAGGTATGATAACTTTGATTGATGGAGAACTAGACGTTCACGATCTAGGCTTCGAACGAAGTCTGATTCAGACCCCGACAACGTTACACCGCTGCTCTATTGGTTATCAACCACGCACAACGCGATTGACCTCGCCTAGAACGCTTTCCTGCAAGCGAATCAAGAACACAAGCAAGAATGTGATGAACGCAATCTGAAATTGCTAGTATAAATAAAGTATATGAGTTTGATAAGAGGTTCAAATCTTGATTCGAATGGACTAGTCGACACATGTGAACAACATCAAGAACAGGGCCCTGGTTCACACAGTCGAACCTTGGCGATACAAGTGCAGCGAACAATGTCTGTTTTATAAGGAAAACAAGAGCGCAACAAAACTCAAACCCTAACGTGAGTAATGGTGGCTAATTAAAGAGTTGTGGGTGTCAGCACCCCTAGACGCGCCCCCTAATGGGCTCTAACATGTACACGGCCCAACGGACCAAAAGACGATGTCACAGCACCCTAAGAGATTTTGGATGCTAACTTGTTTTGACGATTCCCGTTGACTCATGATGAATTTTGACATGAAACCAAAGCCATTAGTTGGTTAGATTATCAAATTATCTTTCCATGAATATGTGGATCATCAAAAACTAAGGCTGTATGTGCCCTAGGGCATCGATTTTACCTAGAACTAGTCCTGGAATCCAAGATGGACTCCAACTCGAGTTGGACTAGGCCTCCATCATGATGTGAATGAGCCGGACGCCCACGCTGGTCCTCCTCGTCTCCTCGGCTTGTATTTGAAGGAGTGATGTCCTCATCATCCTCCCTTTCTTGAATTGTTGACATCCTCTATTGATATACATCTTCTCCTCCTATGGATGGCATCGATTGTAGCTTTGGAAGTAGATCATCAGCTTGGCAACGCAAGCAGCAGCGAGCTCCTCAGAAATGAACCCTTCTTGGTGGTAACAGTTTTGTCTTTTCAAGATTCAGGACTTCTGTTCGTCGGCTGTATGTTAGGAGGAAGAGAAAAAAATACTAAACTACCCTTTCACTACTAGAAACTTGAAATTCCCTAATGGTTTCGAATTTTTTTATGGTTATTGCATAAACCGTCAGGGTAAATATATTATCTTGACGGTTTCTAGAAAACACGCAGGAAAATTAAATAACCGTCAAGGAAATTCCTAATTAACCTGTGAGTGCACATAACCGTCAGGGAAATTCCTAATTCCCTGACAGTTTCGTATTTTTTACGGTTATTGCATAAACCGTTAGGGTAAATAGAATTACCTTGACGGTTTCTGGAAAACACATAGAAAAATACTAGACCAAAGAACATGAACAAAAGGTTTTCTCTTTTTAATCCGCGGTGAAATTTTGTAACTAGTCGTTCTCCCTCATGCTAATTCCAAATGATATGTTTCTTTTTCCTAGTTCTTTGTAAAATCATAATCTACCAATTAACAACATTTGTTTGGATACCAATTATTGTTTCTTAGTCCTTTTGCATATGTTTATTTTCCATTCATGTATATAGAGAAAGCACCTTGTGAAACAACCTTTAAAAACATCTTCATATTCCAAACTTTTTTGTACATAAAATAGGCTACATACATACCATTGTGTAGAAGTTTCAAAAAAAATTAACCGATTTTCTATTTTCTATAGTCTAAATGAATTTCTGTGCACTTATTGAAAGTAATTCCAAATTGAACAGTGGGTGTCTCCAATAAGATTTCAAGAACATTATAAAATTTATATTTATGCTCATATGTTCCACTCTAGGCCATATCCAGAGATGAATGAAAAAAAATCATTTGTTTGCTATGGATAATTCACCCCTCTATCTCCAAATTAACATAAAATAATTGTAATAATTTGAAACTTTATTAGAAAATCCTACAAACTTGCATGACAACATGTTTTTAGTGTACAATATTCCAATAAAGATTCCAAATGTTTAAAAAAAAGAGGTGCCACAAATTGCTCACAAAATGGTACATATCTAACATAGTTAGACAAAACTATGTGAGAGATATATCCATTTGTGAATAATGTATAGTTGCACTTTATCAAAATGATTTAAAATTTTTATGGCAGCTTATACACCCACATTATGCCTCTATACCAATTCTTATAATTTGTAGACCACTTTATGATATTATTAATTTTTTCGTTAGAGTCAACAAAATAGTAGTTTGAGTAATGTTCAAGAAAACACTTAATTTTTCATCGATTTTTAGGATGTGAGCTCAAATAAAACATGTCTTCTTTAATATATTTTTATAACTTTTGGACATTGTTAGATAGGACGTGTAGTTCAAGTTGTAGTTATTTTCCAAAAGTGTAGATATTCATTTAAACTATAGGAACTGGTGAATCAGTTCCAAAATTTCTGAAACTTCTACAAGGGACATATATGTACTCTATTTTATTTAAAAAGTATTTGGGGTACATGAATATAATTGAATTAGAATTTTTAGTCACAAGAGTGTCTAATCAAATAGATAAATAGAAAATAAAACTCAATAAATGATTAAGGCACAGCGGCCTGAGCCCGGGCCGCATCTCTCTCCCTCCGCCCACCGGCGCAAATCAGCCCACTTAAAACCCAAGACTATAAAACTAATAACCCCTCTATCCCTCCCCCTCATTTCCTTGTCCTTCTCCCTCCCTCAGCCGCACACAACTCTCTCTCTCTCGAGCGCAGATCGAGCATGGGTCCGGATCGAGCGTGGGGTGCGGCCCCTCCGACGGTGCGCGAGGGCGCGGCCCCTCTGGTGGCAGCGTGGGACCTAGTGCCCGGATGGACACGGAGCGCGGTCCCTCCGGCGGCGCGCTAGCGCGGGCTCCCCTCCAGTGGCGGCACGGGGTCCCTCCTGTGGCGACGCGGGGCCTGGAGCCCGGATCGACGTGGGGCATCCGACCAGATCCACGCCATCGAGGAGGTGGGTACGGGCGGCCACGAACGCTGTGGGGGTCCGACCATGGAAGAGGTGGCCCCCTCGGGAGATCCGGCGGCGGCGCGCAGCCCAAGCGTCCTCGTCGGTGTCGAGCAAGGATGGCCAGATGCGAGGGCAACGAGGACGACGAGCATAATCAGGTACACCCTCTCTGTCTGCCTGATCGATGCTGTGCAGGTCCTCGGCTCCCCACATCATCTCGTCTCTCCTGCAAGGTGCGTCGAGATCCTTAGGCTCATGTGGATGCTGGTGGAGTGCCGAGCGCCTGCTGACCGAGTGGTTACTGGCCCCTGCAACAATAGCTGCTCTCCACACCATTGCTGAACCTCTGCGCCCTGTCGATTGAGGTCAGTGCATGCTGCGAATCGATTGGTGACTATTGCAATACTAACATTAACAATCAATTTAATAGTACCAATTAACGAGCTATGCCCTCCCAAGAATCTAACAGTAGTTCCAATTTAGTGAGGCTTCAGTTCAATACAGAGTAGAGGGGATAGAGAAGCTAGACATTCTAACTACATTGTAATAACCTTGCTTGTAAGCTCTGCCTGAAACGTCAAATGAATGTACATGAGGTAGTAGTATGTTCACAGTATTTTGGCAGACTCACTCTCAACTAACAAGCAGCTTAATTCAATCGGATTATGTAGGAAAGTAAATAGCCTGTAGCATATCTTCATGACATAAGTAATAGCTTGTAGCATATCTTGTCATTTGTGTCATTTGTAGAAACATTTCTTGTATCACCACATTTCTTGTAATAATATACATATGGTGCATATCTGCAGTGGTGAAACATTTTTAGTGGGGTTTCTACCTTTTTCCCGTTAGTAGTCATTCAGAGCTCTACCTTGATCTGTTAACTTTTGTATGCATATGTGAAAATGCAAATCTAAGATGCTGCTGCAGACAAGTTGTTTTAGCTGTAGTCGAATGGCATGTACCTTTTGTGTTGATGTTGTGAACAACTTTGTTTAACTGGTGATCTGAGTATACAAAATCATTATTTAGCTTCATAATTTTGTGATCCCTTTACCGTGTTATACACTTAGAAAAGCTGCAGCTCCTAAAAAATTCTGATCCATTAATTAATTCAAGTTTCATCTTTCTATGCTAATTGCAGATCCAGAAATTGCAAATTTTACTGAGTAGGCTTATGCCTAATATGCTCTCTACTTTTTAGTATAATTAGCTATTAGTTCTAAATTCCTTGCCTTTAGGGCTAGTTTTCTCTCTGTTACTGTAGTTCTATACTGACTCCTTTATCTGTAAACAGTGTTTTGCTGCTGTCATCTTAGTTTATGCTAAGTTGAAAGTGCTAAGACAGAAGATAGCTTTTTATGTTAAGAAGTTCTCAGTCATATAAATCATAGTTAAAATTTTGAGACTATTTATGTAGGTGACAGCATGGGTTCACCTATCAATTATTTAGTCAGAATCATATTATACTCTATTGAATTGTGCAATGTAATTAATATTTGGTCATGTTAAAATTTCAGGTTTTGGAGCTGAACTCTGCACAGACACCCAATGCATGTATGCTTCCTTGAAAGCACCATGGCCAATGTTGGTACTGAGTATAGTTACTAAAAGTATTTGGAGAACTTGTTTTAGGTGGATGGATGCTAAATTTTTGGATGTCTTATGTATGTGGCTGTTGATGCAAATACTGTGACATCTTTGTATGTATTGGATTAATGGTACTAATTTTCATTCAAAAAAAGTTCATGGTAGTGATGATATATTTATATATGTATTAAATATCAATCGCACATGAATCATCTCAGAGATCTATATGCTAATGTCAAAATTGTATTAAATTTATCCTTTTTAAAAAAATTGTGTATAGCTCTACTGTGATACAATATAATTATCCTGTCAGTTTTGGCCAACAGGGAAAACAATTCTTCTGATATGATAATGTTTTTTTTTTGATGGTTACAAACCGACAGGGAAAATCAAACACCGACAAGAAAATAATATTTTCTTTGACGGTTCGACACCGACGAGGAAATTGTCCTTATAACCTGTCGGTTCGACACTGATGAGGAAATCATTTTCCCTGTTGTTAGTTTATGATTTTTTGTCGGTCGGAACCGACGGAGGAAAGCTTTTATCCCTAATGGTTTGTAATTTTGCTATCGGTTTAGCATTGTCAGGCAAATCAAAATTAATTTCCCTGATGATTTCCGTCATACATTTGTTTATTTCCATGTCGAGCTAGCCCTGACGGTTCAACTGTCAGGGATATTGAATTCCTCTTTCCCTGACGGTATTTTTAATTTCCCTGACGGTAATTGCACCTTCAGGGAATTTTCGCTTTCCAGTAGTGATTTAGTCTTCCAGGAGAGTTTTTAATCAAACAACGGCTGTTAATCAAACAAACACGGTAACAAAGCTCTATTGAAAATAACTAATTGAAGAGATTGGAAACAGAGATGATTTCTTTGAACCAAATTTTTACTTAAGAAACCATATATACCTGATGGGAACAATGCCGATTCAATAATCCATAAAGATGAGTTCTGCAACGATTAATAGAGATAAACTCAGCAATGGAACGAAAAAAGTTTAGAAGGATGAAGTCTGGTAGAAACGAAAATTAGATGGACGAATGTGTACCGAGTTTCACAGGCTGCCTCTGCCTCTGAGATGAGTAGCAAAAATGCAAACCCAGCAATATTTGCGTCTGCAAGTGATGCAGCAGTAGATTAAGACACAACCTGCCTCCATTAAGTAAATAAATATCTATCAAACTGAAATGTGTTACAAAAAATTCTGAAGTTCATATAACAGCGTGAAGCACGCCTCGTAAGGAGAGAAAAAAATGTGTTCTACAGATATTTATGGGAATGGAAACTAACTGTTCGAAGAAAGATTATTTCGACTCATATATTATACAAATGTTCATTCGTGACATTGGTGTATAGGTAAAACAAATGAAGGTCCTGTTTGGAAGTGTTTAACTTTCAAGCATGCTTTGTTGATAAGACACATCCTGCTTCCATTGAGTAAAAAGGTACCGCCTCCGTCCCTTTTAAAGTGTTTGTCCCACATCGAGAAGTCAAACGTACTCAACTTTCAACAAATATATATAAGATATTACTAATATTTATGGGCAATAAATATCATTAGTGTCACGACCCAAAGTCGTTCCAACTAAAACTTTTAATAGATCATCCTTGATAACCTTGAACAGTTCCTCAAACACCCAAGAAACCATCTTGGGAATCTCTTTAAAGGGTTCCTAGTACTCCCTACAAGGACAATGACCCAACATTCGTTACTCAATCTCACTGACTCTCCCAAGTTAACTAAGGTCAACCTGGAGTCAACCATGGTCAAATGGTGGCCAACCATGAGAAGATACTCCCAGAAAGATGCCAACCGACCACTCTAAGCTTCCTACAAGTGTTTATCAATCTCTAGGATGCCTCAATGCCAAAAATCCCTTTCTCTAAATCATTCGATCAAAGTTAGAGGATTGACGGAGCATCTGACCAAATCGACAGACTGTCCGTCAAATCTCCCTTTCAGCAGATTGAGTGGAAAATGAGCTGTCCTCAACTATCTTCATCTGGCCCCACTTATCAGCTCGAATCAGGATATGTCTTTAGTAGATTCTGCTTAGTTACCTCTTCACTCTCTCATTCCCCACTCTCTCCCTCTCTCTAGAAAGCAAGAACAAGGATGAACTAGAGAGAGTAGATGAAGGAAAAGAAGAGAAGGAAATATGAGAACAAGAAAGAAAAGGAAGGATCAGCACCATGCCAAGCTCATGAGCATCACCATCTCTCTCAATCCATGGTTAGCTTAAGAACACTCTCTCTTCTCATTTTCTTGAGATCAATCCTCAAACCCTAACTCATGATTCTCTCTATTCATGAGTGAAGTGTGAAGTTTGTAAGTTGCTTCATCATCTCAGAAGTAAGCTCAAGATCAACCCTAGCTAAATCCATCTCTCTAGCTTGGGAGCAAGGTTGCTCAAGACCTCCATTTCTCATCTTGGTGGCTTAGGAATCACCAAATCTCAAAGATAAGTTGCTATGCTCAATATCATGATTTTGTCTCTCAATTTCTCATGATTTTAGTCAATTCCTAAATCACTAGTTACACTTGTTAACTATAGCTCAAAACCTAGCTATCCCTAGCCCAACATGTCACCTAAACAACTCTAAAAACCCCTTACACATGCATAGTCAACTTCACCCTTAATCTATGTTTGAATCACAAATGAAAACTATGACCAATGAAGAACAAAGGTTCTGTCGACACATGATGAAGTGTCCGTCACTCTTCATGCAAACACCTAGCCAAACCTCACATCCACACACTTGACCTTCACTGTTAATAATTTCATGGATCGTCCGTGAGAATTCATGGACAGTCCGTCAAGTTTTAAAATTGACTTTCAGAACCCGAGAGCACTCCGCTCACCACCGAGTATCCGTCAATTAATACGGAGCGTCCATGAGACACAAATCACCTAAAATGACTAAGTCCTAACCCCACGGATCATTCCGTGCAACCATCCTTCAATCCACATAGCGTACGTCAATGTCATCAGAACGCTCTGTCAGTTGACACAGAGCCCAACCCAAACTTGTTAGCTTCCGGAAATACCCCATGGATCGTCCAACTTTGATGACGGAGAGTCCGTCGAATATTTTATAACGTTAAAATGTTTAACCCTTAACCCTAGGACCATACCACCCCACCACCTATCCAGACGTAATCAAATAGCACGATAGATCGTAAGGTGACCCAAACTTCCATAGCGACGGTTGTGGCAGGAGCTCTAGAGCAGATACAGTGCAAATTTTCTGCATGTGTGATGCACGCAGGTGTTCGTGCAACAATGATGCCATGGTGTTCACGTGTTTTGAGGCCATCTCTAGCGGCTTCCTTTGAAGCGAACCATTGTCCTAGGTGGAGTTTCATGAACCAACTTGTACCACTCAAGTAAGCCGATGTCGAATGAGGAGTTTTCTCAATATTATACTGACCACAGGTTAGAGTGACCGTTTTCAACATACCACGTAACAACATTCTACACAAACTAATTCTTTTAATTATATCAAATGAGTTCTTTCAACATTATACTAGCCAATTTGTCATGCTTTAACACTTGGCTTTTGTTCTAAATCATAGAGGTAAACCTGAAAAATATTAGCTATAATTAATTGGCTTATGTTCTTGACATATCTTCCTCTTACTTTGCTAGTTATTACACTGCCTACATGAGTTACATTAGTCAAAACAAATAAAAAATATATCCAAAAAATAAAAAAACAGATGAGCCCTTCATTAGGCAG